CACTTGATCGATTTGAAGCGAATTGGGGACTTGGAACTGAGTGTCCAGGAGATGGGGTCGAACTGCTGTTAGGTTGATTAAAATTGAAATGTTCAGTTTGAGGAGACTGAGTTTGATTTGGCCGCATAGTTAGCTGAGGAGATGAAGGCGAACTAGGTGGTTGGAAAGGAGTAGGAGTCCGTTTCATTCCCTGTATTAATTGCATTCTTTGCATTTGCATTTGATGTGGGGATAATGGACCCATCTGTGGTCTTTGCATTCTATTCCAAGGCGGTTGTTGTTGTGGTTTACCACGAATCATTTGCTGTTGATGAAGTTGTTGCTGAGAATGCAAGTGAGGTTGAAATTGATGCATTCGAGGTTCGCCAGGATGCCTGAAAACATGATAACCTGGATTTTTAACAGTTCCTGGTGGGGACCATCTTCTAAATTCATCAGCTGGCATTGTTTCATAGTTAGATTGCAGTTGTTGTTGTTGCTGTTGTTGCGGTTGCGGTGGTTGTTGTTGCTGTTGGTGCTGGTGCTGTTGATGGTGCTGTTGTTGAAGTTGCTGCTGTTGAATTTGCTGTTGCTGTTGCTGTTGTTGTTGTTGTTGCTGTTGTTGTTGCTGTTGTTGCTGTTGATGCTGTTGTTGCTGTTGAAGCTGTTGTTGCTGATGCTGTGACTGTTGCTGTAATTGGTGCTGTTGATGTTGTTGGTGCTGTTGTTGCTGCTGTGATTGCTGCTGCATTTGTTGTTGCTGTTGGGGCTGCTGTTGAGCTACTCCTGACTGAACATGTTGAATCATCGGTGGTCGATAACCCTCAGAATGGGACGGTCCACTTGGAAAAGCAATTCTATTAGGGTCTATTGGGGGTCTAACCCGAGATACAATTAATGGACTTTTTTGAGGTCCAGTTAAAGGCAGTCTTTGATGCTGTCCAATCATCGGACTAGAGGCTGTTAACGTTGTTGGTCTTATTATACTAGAGGAATCATTTATTGGTGTTGTTGGGGCTGAATTTGAATCGTGCTGTTGAGCAAACGATTCGTCTACCCCAGAAAAACAGAATTGTTGATTATTCTCTACTTCATTTGAATTCTGAGGCATATATACTGGGTTATTCTCTTGACTTTCACTACCGAAACTATTCGACTTGTGATCACTATCAAATGGTCCTTGTGTTTGTTGCTGTACATTCAATAAAGATTGCTGCCTCTGCTCTTGCAGAAGTTGATGCTCTTGCATTTGTTGCTGCTTTTGCATTTGTTGCACTTGTTTCCATTGCATTTCTTGGTCACTTTCACGACGGGTATTCGACCTTAAATAAAAAAAACATTCAATTAGAATTTTTCCTTATTCATCAAAATTTATAACATAGATTTAAGTTTATGTAAATAATAAGCTAAATAAACATTGAACGAACTGTTTTAAAACATTGAAATCATGCAAATGAGTACTATTGTACATACCTATTATCTTTGTAGCTCCCTTTATTTTGTTCTTGTTGAGCCTTTTGTGCTCGATTTTGGCGATTTTCTTTGGCCTTTTGGCGAAATGGAGCTCTAGCATCATCCGAAAGTTGGCGCCAATATTTGTTTGCTTGTTTGCACCGTTCACTAATGTCAGGTATATCTCTTTTAAGATTAGGATAAGTCATGTTGCAATATAATATTGCCGAGATAGTTGAATTTAATCCTAGCGCTTCTTCTTCCTCAAATTTGATAATTTTTTGATCTTCATCATTAGGAGCTTGAGCTTTTGTTGGAGGTGGCACAGGAAGCTGTTGAGGAGATGCTGGTGGAGGCTGTTGTTGAGGTTGAGAGTCGGGGAAAGGTGTTCTCGGAGAAAATGGTTCAACAGTAGGCGAACTGCTTCCTGAAGTTTGAAGGAATGTATTTGCTTGTAGCCTGATAGGTTCGCGATTGAAGGTAGGCCTGATTGACACTGGGGTGGGTGATATTTGCTGTGGTGTTGGTGGTTGTTGATGTTGTTGAGGTGAAATATGATGAGGTATTTGATGCGGATGCCTATGGGGATGAAATTGTTGATGCTGATGTAGTTGAGGCTGGGGTTGAGGTTGAGACTGAAGGAGCTGATGTAGATGTGAATGAGGACGAATATGCTGCGAATGTTGTTGATGAGGGGGTGTCTGTTTTTGCATTTGTTTTTGTAGTTGGACCTGTGGATGCTGATGTTGCAGTGGTATTTGCTGTTGGGGTTGGGGTAGTTGTTGTTGCGGCTGTGGCTGCTGCTGCTGCTGTAGTTGATGCTGTTGTAGTTGCTGTTGTTGCGGTTGCTGTTGTGGTGGTAATGACGGAGGAGCTGGAGAAGGCTGCTGTGGTTTGATTTGAGGTGACCGATGAACAACCATTTCTGGCTGCCTTGGACCTGGAACATCTTTGACTATATTAACAGAATTATTAATATTTGTAGGTAATAAAGATGTGAACGAAGGAAATTCTTCTACAGCCTGATTTTGACCATTTACAGTGGCTGTTTGAGGACTTAAAACTCCTTGAAAAACATCTTCTACATCTTTACTATCCATGTGGGGTAAACCACTATCCACAACAATAGTTTCTAAATTAAAATTCGTGTTTAAAATGACTGCGTCGATTCCATCTTTAGCGTCATTAATTGATTTATCTACAGTAGGTGAATTGCCTAGAACTTCGTCGTTTTTGTCAAGATCGTCATCATAAAGGATATTCATCAGCTCTTCATCTTGCGGAAGATCTTGAGGCAACAAGCCATTCAAATCATCATCGTCCATAGTGACAGAAGTGGATGCATCATCCGAGGATTTCCTAGTTTCACTTAACTTTACTTTTGTGAATGGTGACTTAGCGATAGGAGTATCAGAGTGATTGAAAGTGACCGTTTGCTCATTTGTAATTCTATTCAAAAACGATGAACTCTCATCTATACTTGGGGGATGTTTAAAGTTCACATTTGAATCTGGCACCGAGTTATTTTGGCCTGACATATTTGAAGATTCTTTACTTGATTCAAGCAGACCCTTACCAAAAAAGGCTTCTTGTAAATAGGAAGGGAAACTATCAAGTAATTGACTCTTTTTCTTCATTCTTCTTCGTCTTTTTGGTTTTTCGTTCTGTATATTTGGATCAAGCTCACTTGGAGCATTCTCTATTGCGTCGCCATCTTCGTCTTTACTCCAACGAGTGCGATTTTTAACACAGAAACCTCCGATTCCGAGACGTTGTATCTTTCTCTGCTTTTTCTTCTTTTCACTAGCATCTAATGAATCAGTCTTGGAAGATCCGTCCTCCGTCTTGAAATCTTCATTATCTTCATCCCTTGTATCGTCTATTTCTCCACTAGGTAAAAGATTAACTTTACTCGTTCTCTTTGCACGCGGTCTTTTAGGAGGGTCCAACTGAAGAGATTTTATAAGCGACATACCGCCTTCAGACAGCGTTACACCATCCAGATGGAACTGACTTTGATATTTATTGTGATTTGACTTTAAAGCTGATGAATTTGCAAAGGATTCTGAAGAAGGCACCAGAGAAGTTTGAGAAGAAAAAGTCGATGATGCATTAACATTTGGTACCGAATCTCGACCTGTACAAGATGCATCTTTAATTGCATTAGATGAAACATTTCCATTGACAAGAAACTGCATGGACCCACTATTATTATCTAAAGAACTGGCTAGTTTACCAGAGACGGAATCAACAGAAGAACGAGGCGAGACTAACGGAGATGCACGTGAAACATTGCCAGTCCCTCCTAGGCTACCTTCAATACTTAAAGCTCTTTGTCTTTTCGTTGGCATTGCATTGAGTTTAAGAGCTGAAAAAAAATGAAATGAAAACAAACTTGTAAGCATAAAATATTGAAAAAGCATACAAAGATGGCAGAGTTGAAAATATGCATACCTTGCAAATGAGCGGATGGTTCATCTTTAGGACGACATAATATACATTTATAACCAAAATCTGCTGCTCCTTCGCAATCATCTTCATTGCTCATCCCATCACATTTTGAATGTAACCACCTAAAGTAAAAATTAAAGAATAAAAGCGGTGTAATGGATGAATTATAGAATGAAAAAAGGGTGTACAATTCAAATGAAAATAAATAAAACATACCGTTTACAATGGATACACTGAATTATGAGATCATTTTCTACATAATCAGCGTAGCACACAGGACAAGAAGTCTGACTACTACAAGGGCCACATTCGGTGTAATTTTTTTGCCACAATGAATTAATTCCAGGAGATATGGATCCACATTTAATACACACTACACACCATTTACACTTCCATGTCCCGACTGGTATATCATCCAAAGGTGGATCGAGGCAATATGTATGATAGCTTATGTCACATTCATCACACAATAATAGCTTACCCTCGTCGTTGGCTTTACCACAGCCTTCACATACAGTACATTCAAGGCACCTCCAACCTTTACTTAATATAACTTTTGTTACTTTAATATTAGCACAATAAGGATGATAACACTGACCACACTGAGAACATATGATTAACCATCCTTCTTCACCTTTACCCAAGCTTCCACAGATAACACATAAATCTTGGGACAAGAGGAATTCATCCTTAACTGAACAGAAGACCATATGATTTTCCATTAGGACTCATGTAGTTCCAATATGAAGAGGATAGGGCTGATAATCACTTGATTGATGTTTAATCACTTGAAAATAAATTCTCTTTAATAATATTTTACAATAAAACAAACCTTTCACACACACACACTTCTTGGTGACACCACAATCACTCTTTTAAAAAGGGCCGGTAAGAATCGTCCGGTTCACAACAATTACAATCACAACAACTTTCATCCATCATATTGATTGTACATAAATCATTTTACAATATATAAACTGTCAATAAAACTTGTTTACAAAAAAGTCAATTAAATTAAAAATTGTAAATCGGAAAAAATGAACAGTTTTGATGTGTGTGTTTTAATATCGGACGCCATTTTGGCGAATTGTTTATAAACCTATAGTCCTATATTCATAATAGTCTGCCATCTAGTATTGCTATGAAACATTATTTTCTAGGATTTTTTGTTGCAACGAAATTTCGAATCTATTTATCGAAACTTTTTTATTTACAAAGAAATATAGTTCTTAATTAAGAAATGATTATTAATCAGACCAACTCCAAGCTATAAAATGGTTCTATATTTGTATTGATTAAAATAAACCATAATTATTAAAGAGATGTATTTTAAGCTATGAATAAAATTAGTAGATTTTTTATTCAAGTTCACCATAAAAGGATTATTTTTTTGATAACAACTCCAGACTTTACACCTCAGAAAGGTCTGAGATTTTAATATTTTGATAAATTTACTTCTTATAGTATGAGTAGGTTTAATTTAAATGTTCAAGGAGCATATCGATAAGTCAATTATTTAGACATGTAAATTTGGAATTGTTGCTCGAGGAAT